ATAGCTATTTTGTGGTCTACAACATGAAAGAAAGCTATTATAACATGTACATGAAAAATGTAGAAACATTGGACACAACTGTGGGGCACCATCGTGCAGCAGCAAGCATAACAACAAAAAAGGAACTTCAAGGTTGATCTAGGTAAATGTGTGCAAATGTATAGGGCCCCATTCCTATATTTTGCCTGGGGCCCCCAAATCACTAAATCCGCCCCTGGTGGGACAACGTAAAATTACTCCTTTTAAAACATGCATTGTGTTGAAAAAAAGCTACTGGGACAAATCACAGACTTTACATGCATGTGGCATTTGCTGAATTAATATGTCCCATCAAGAAATGACCTGCAATTTTACATTCCTAACAGTTTTTCCATGGAGCTCAACATTAAGTCACTGGAAGTCACTATTCTAAACTTCTCCTGTTTGGCAGGACCAGGTTTGTTACTCTACTGAGGTCTTCATTTCTCCACTGTGTGCCGTGCTCTGCAAATAAGAAAACGAGTAATGATATAGCAGTTCTTTACCCTTAAGTGTGTTGTGTGTTCACGGCACTGTTATTTACAGGTGTTCATATGCATGCACTGGGATCAAAGCCAATAACATGCCCACAGTCAAACACATTCACGCAAACACACACACACACACACACACACACACACACACACACAAGCTCTTTAAAAAACATATACTTTAGCAGAGAAGTATTAATATCATATCATTTGGTATTGTGGGTAATTAATTCTCATGAATAAGACAATATGGTTGCATATAAAAGAGGAATCAGAAAAGTTCCCTGCTGAGAGAGTTATAATAACCTCAGCCCAGCATTTTCTTACTATAATAACACAATATCTCTCTCTAAATTATGGAAATTGGGACCAACATAAGCATACTGAGCAGAGAGTTGCATGTCACTATCACCGGCTGGAGTGCCCTGGTTTTCCATTATAGGGCACTCCATCCCAGACTTCTGCCATTCTGTCAAGGACTTCATTCCCCATAATCCTCTGCCCGGTCTCATTAGCACACATTGTTTGCACCTGTGTCTCATTAGCATGGTTAGCTCACCTCATATAAGCCTGGTTCTCAATGTCATTCTTTGCTAAATCTTATATGTGTCATTACGGCATTTCCCAGCCTTGTATTCTGGTTCTTCTGTATCTTGGTTCCTGGTCTTGTTATTCTGCCTGTTTTCTCGATTACTCTATTTGCTTCAGCCCCTTTCTCTGTCGTTGTTTTGGATTGTCTATTTGTGTATGACCTTTGCCTGCCTTTGGATTAAGTTTATGGATTACCTCTTCAATAAACTACTGCATTTGGATCCTCTACCTTCGTGTCTCGGAGCAGTTCATGACATTGCTGAAGAGAATCGGGCAGCTGAATATAGTTGAAACTGGCGAAAAGCAAGTGTGTGTTTGGCTTTCTACAAAGAACAAATAAAGATGTAAAAATATCTCACTATATACTCCATCAGAGTGGAATTATTGAGTGCTTGCTTGTAAACTGAATATTACTGGCATTATTAACAGATATTTTGATATGGTAATGGCAGCAGTGCAAAACCAACCTTCTTCAAACAATCACATTACCAGTACAGATTTTAAAGGGTTAGTTCACCCAAAAATGAAAATTAGCCCACAAATTACTCACCCTCAAGTCATCCTAGGTGTATATGACTTTCTTCTTTCAGACGAATCCAGTCGGAGTTATATTAAAAATTGTCTTTGATCTTTCAAGCTGTTTAATGCCACTCAGCGGGTGTTGCATGCATCAGTCCAAAAGAAGTTAAATAAAAAGTGCCCATCCATAAAAAATTGTTTCACACGGCTCCGGGGTGTGAACAAAGGCCTCCTGTAGCGAATCGATGCGTTTTTGTAAGAAAATATCCATATTCAAAAAGTAATAATCACTTTAATGTAGCTTGCGCCAACAGTCCTACACGGAAGCAGCTCCGAGCGGATGAAGTATGAGGTCAGCTTTGCACATGTGCCGGTGAGTCTCGTGAAAACCAACGTTTGTTAACAGGAGCAAAGGAAGCAAAGTTTCAGGTGAAGGGTTTCAGAGGAACTCTGAAAGTGCGCTGGGAAATGCTCTAGTGAATGCTAACCAGCCATTTAAATGTAAATCAGCAAGCTCATTGGCTGTGTATTCGACATGAACCAATCAGCTTGTGCCAAGTACTTTAACGCTGTGAATATTAGGAAGATCAGGCCCTTTCTTTCAGAACATGCAACACAACTCCTTGTTCAAGCTCTTGTTCTGTCCAGGCTGGACTATTGCAATGCTCTCTTGGCAAGTCTTCCAGCCAGTTCTATCAAACCTCTACAGTTAATCCAAAATGCTGCTGCAAGATTAATCTGTAATGAGCCGAAAGTAACGCATGTCACACCTCTGTTCATCAATTTGCAGTGGCTACCAGTAGCTGCTCGCATTAAATTCAAGGCATTAATGTTTGCCTACAAAACCACCACTGGCTCTGCACCCATTTACCTAAATTCATTACTTCAGAGTTATGTGCCCTCTAGAAGCTTGCGTTCTGCAAGTGGATAAAAGCGTCAGCTAAATGATTAAATGTAAATGTAAATATCATCAGTTTGCATCAATTACCCATCAGCCTGCGCCATCTAGAGTTTCATGACAGAACTTTGCATTTATATGAAATATAATTTTTTTGAACATTATATGTCTTTACTCACTTTGAACAATTTAATGTATCCTTGCTGTGTAAAAGAATTTCTCTCTCTCCCTCTCAAAAAAAAAAAAAAAAAAACCTTTTGAGTAGCATATACATACAAAAAGTCTGGGGTCTGTAATTTTTTTTTTTCTTTTTGAACCGGCCCAAAGAAGAAGATCTTTCCTGCCTATAACAAATCTCTACATAACTAACACATTAAAGTCTTTGACATGCTCTTTTCACCTCCCATCCCCCTATTATCACAGGTAAAGTAATGATCAGTGGGAAATTCATTTATTTCTCTTTTGCTATCTCTCAGTTGCCGCAGGCAGTCAGGGAGGGTTAGCATTTCACTAATGTGTTCATAATTTAAATGGCAATGCTGTCTTGTTGGCGGAGCATGTCATGAATTATGCAACAAGATGTCTGTCTTCAAGCAGACAAAGAGAGCAGGCTCATACCTCTGCAAACAAACAATATTCCAATCAAAATGCCACCATTAATTAGCTCATTAGAGACCTCAAACAAGTGCGAGCTTGTGACAGATGAAGAAACAGCGCTAACCAGTTTTCTTAAGTGATCATAATTAGAAAGATATCATTAATGGGTGTTAATTACAAAAGAGCATTCAAACTAATTTGAATATTAGTTTTCAGTAAAAATTCCCTCTCAGCTGACTTCTGGTCTTCATCTCGCTCCATGTGGAGCCTATGATGACAATACAAACACACACACACACACACACACACACAGAGAGAGAGAGTGGGAAATGTGGAAGGCATTTGTTATAAAGAGACTCTGATTTTGAAAACCCTTGTGTCGTAGTGAAAAAGGAAAAAGGAATCATTACTAATGAATGAAGGGAAGATAAAAAAGAAAAGATTTCACTCAAATCTTTCAGTGTTATGTGAATATTTAATGTAAATGGAATTTCAAATGAGCTGAAACTATCTTCAGAGACCTCTACTGTTTTCCACTAGCCCTCGATTAAAATTTATCAATTTAATTAATAGCCCTGCTTTGAGGGAACAGGAGAGACAGGCGTGCTCACATGTTCTTTCTCTCTTCATCCTTCTGCACGGAGGCTGATGCCTCCTGCTCCCATTCTCCTCCCAAAATATTACTCTCCCTCTGTCTCCCCGTCTCCAATTTAATATTCCATTTTCCTCACACATTATAGAATAATCTAGTCTCGCACTGTTTCCCCCCCACTTCCCCGATGTCAAAATCAGAGTGATTTTATAATTAGGCCCTTGCTCATTGTTATTCAAAACCCGGTAGAGCCAATTAGTTTTACCCTTTCTGACCTGTTCATGCTTTGCAGAAGCGCTAACTAAAGACTCTAAGGGAACTGCAATGGAGGTCTTATCTTCCCCCCATTCTGATTAATAATCCTGTCACAGCCATCTCACTCTTTAAAAAGAAAAGCCTGGTTAAGGCCCAGTCTTTCTCCATCACTCCCTTCCCTTTTTATGCCTTTCTATTAATCTTTAATGGTGGCTGGGTCACTCACTCCCTTTTGTCTTGTCAGATAAATGTAGTGTTAACAAGATGAAGAGCTTTCTGGAGGATGGGGGAGAGAGGAGCTAAGCTAGCAAGGTGACCCCCATTCCAGCTGAGATGGGTGCACTTTGGAGGAACAGGGCAGGAAGTGTGGGTCAGGTTCTGCAGTATCATGATCCCTGCATGGTTTTCACATCTTGATCATTTCGTATGATGAACAAAATAGAGGTGTCAAATATAACAGCAACGAGTAGCCATGTGAATGCTTTCTATACAGCTCAGGAGCTCAGGCTGGGCGATACGGCCAAAAATATTATTACAAAAACAAAATTTCCATATCATCTGATATTGAAATTTATCACAATACTCATTTATGTTTAATGGGAAAGGAAATTATTTCCGCATGTTTGTTAGACCTTGAGAATGAATGTAAACATAACTTGTTTGTTCACAGTTAACCATTTAGCTAATTCTGGGTCCCAAGAAATCCATTTTATTTTTCTCTAAATTCTGTTTTCCATTTTATTTTTCCTGGATTCTGTATTTTATGATTTAATATAAATTTATTATCAAAAGTGGGGTCTAATGAAATTAATTAATAAAGATTTAACAATTGAAATCAAATGTAATTCAAATGAAAATTCAATGTTTACAACAAAACACTGCATTTTTATTT